TAAATTGATTTAGCGCTAGCAACATAGTGACATCCAAAAAAGTACTCCGTACCTGGTATATGGAATACTAACATGCTCAGTACGGAAATCTTGACATAACAAGTGATCAAGATTCTCGTTAACGCTTAGATGAATAAATTATGATCATTTAAGCTTTTTCTCAAATGACGGCCTCCGCATATGGGAAACTCTAGAAGGGTCAGCCACCGTTTGAAGAGAAATGGCGAAGACCTTTGTCCGTCTAAGCTTAAAAGGGGATCTATACACTCGTATGAGTGGTTTTTTCTTCCCTAGGATTTCTAGGGTTCTTTTTTTTTTTTTTTTGAAAACGGATTTCTAGGGCTCTTCTTCTGTCAATTTTAATAGTGGTGTTATGGATGGCTTCTTCTTAAATTAATGAGGAGGAAGTTTTGTTGTTTGAGGCTACGGCGTCAAGGGCTGCAAATGGGATCCGAGCGATGGAGGATGAAGATGAAGTGATGATGATTCGCCCCCTCCTAAGCCGCCGCCATGAAGAATCTGTGAGACTAGAGTTCCTGCTGCTACCATGGGTCATTTGAACCATCAGTTTATCTTTTTTAATTTCGTTTTTTTCAGGTTTAATTTTTTAATAAGGAACTATGTTCTTATCGTTTTGCTTTTTGTTAAAGTTCATGATACTAGGTTTATTACGATGACTAAGGTTTCGGCTAGATTTGATATGGTTAGTGGGGGACGAATCTATTTGTTCGACAATAGCTGCATTAAGCCCGTCTGGTGGTTAGCGATTCGTATTGCTTCTTTAGAGGTGATCGTCTCCATGTCTAATCGTATGGCTATAAGTAGTAGTTAGACGGTGAATGTTGTAATCGGTGTTGATCATTTTGATATTCATGTAACGATCGTGATTCTAATAATATCAAAATAGATGATTTCCTCTTCAAAAAAATCATGATCATTTATAAAGTCAATGACTCAACCATCACCAAATAGACATTCTCATAACATTTTCTCTATTGACATATGGAGGGACGCGGCATGGCGCCACATATATAAGAGTGGTGTCAATTGACACTACTTAATTTTTTTGTTACGTTGCTTACGTATAAACGAAACGAGATCAATTGATACCAGTCAAATGTTTTTTGTATTTATATATGTAGAGCTATATTTCTCAAAATTTATTTGACACAACTGGAATGAATAACTTGGCTCCGTTCCTGTCACATATGATAAGTTTCACATCATAATAACATATGCAAAAATGATTTTGGCTGGATGGCATCATTTGCGTTGAGTTGGCAAGAAGTTAGCAGTACTATTGTATTTCAATAAATATAATTTGGGAAAATTACACGATTCATTGTAATTTAGCCTTTTCCCAGCTTCCAAAATACACGGTATTGGATAGCAAAGACATAATTAATGAATTTCCAACAGTAAAACATCCGAAACGACAATGCCTTTGGTCCATGATTTGACAAGTTTCATAGGAATATAAAGCATTCCATTGAAACAAGAGGGTTTTCAAGCGATTCACCGGCCTCCCCTGAAACGCCGTCGTTAGGCTTCTCCAATTTTTTATCTTCACGGTGGTTCTCTGCACTCTTCGCCGGCGATTGGCCACCTTCGCTCACGGCGGGACTTTTCATGCTTACATTACGGCGGGGATCAGCCTCCCGGCGAGCCGCAGGAGACCTTGACCGGCGCGCGTTGCCGGCCTCACGTTGTGCCGCCTTTTCAGGGCCCACGTTACGCTTCCGGGACGGCGTTGATGTCCTGCTCTGACCCGATTTTGAAGACGCCAGAGCATTCCTCTTCTCCGGCGACGGCGCCGATCTCTTAGACGGGGACTTGAAGCTGCTTCTCTGCCTTCCTCCGGGCAGATCTCCGGGAGTTCGGCGCTTCCGTCGCGGAACAGGGGACCTCTGGTTGACTTCGCCGTCGTCGTCCCTCTTCTCCGTCGCCGTCGTGGAAATGCTCTCAGTCAAGCTACACATTTCAGACGGCTCAGACGCCGCAATCTCTTCGTCCGCTTTAAGCGGACCACGCCGGTCAACGTCAACTTCAACCTTGACTTGGTGAAAGTCGTCGACTCGTTTTAGACCACCATTGATGCTCTTCTTTTCATCTTGTAAAGGAAGGGGCTTTGAGATGTGGGTCTCGGACAGGACAACTTCTTTGACGGTTTCCTCGTCAACAGGCGGCGGAGATCTGTCGACCTTGGGTAGATCCGGCGTCGTGTGAGCTGAAGCAGGGTCTCTGGTGGTGCTCAAACAACACCCCATCTCGTAGCAGCAAGGGAGCACTGGTTTATGCTAAAAGATTAGATTGGGTGTGGAGATGGAAAGATGAATGGGCATTATGAATTCGAAATTATGTTGAAGGAAGTAGGAAATGTGAGGCCGGAGAGGTTTATGGTGGCAGAAAGATTTACAGAAAGAAAGAGTTAATGGAGTTTGGGGTGGTTGAGGAGAAGGGAAGGGGTGAAAAGTAGAGGCAGGTATTTGATGTGAAACCAGCAGTGCGCTGCTCCAAAAAAGGCACACATTATCATGCCGATGACTTATTTAATTAGAGTCCACTTACTCCTCATATGATTATTTTTTACTTACTTTACTTTCAATTTAATTAGAGTCCATTTACTTTCAATCCTAATGCAAGAATCTTATAATAATACAAGTGATTGACAGAAAAATAAACAGTTTGATCATAAAAAATAAATAGCAAACAAACAGTAAAATTAAAAAGTTGCTTCCAAACCTTAGTCTCTCCTGCACTCCAAGGTGGTGGTTTAGGAGGGGACGATCCAGCAGTACTGTAGTCGCTTCCTCGTCTGGCTTCTTGTTCATCATATTCTCTACCAAGTCTCTTCTATCATCACCTATCACGAATGACTTTGAATCCAGATATGTTCCAGTCTCTAGCTCCACGCTTCGCCCACGACCTTTGACCGCCAGAGACCAAACATTTGTCTTCCATCCCTACATCCAAAAAACTCCAACGGCGGAAACTCGTTCTAGAGAGAGAAGCTCTCGTGTTTAGAGAGAGAATTCCTTATACGCGTTTTTCACAAACAAAGCTTAACAAGTACGAAGTAGTTTTGTTTTTAGATAAAGTCTATACTACGTAAAATCATTTCCTGTTAAACTTCAATGGAATGACGGAATTCTAATTTATTTTTCTTTGCATACGTCGAAGAGGTTAAGCCTCAGTCCTCAGGAATATCTCACAATATATAACAACATTATGTTTTAGATGTACCACCCACAATCATATATCCAACTTAATTTTCATTTTATAATACCTTATCTAAATCCACTTGTTTCATGGTTTTTATTGTAGAGAAATTAACTGGATTGCCACATTAATATGCTATGACCAAGCTGAAGTTCCTTCATCGCTCGTATCTTTGTTTTACATCATTGGGGTATTGTTGGCACACAACTTCAAAACCTCTCTGTCATGGGAAAAATTTGGTTTCTCTGCAGAATTTATACCTAAACAGATAAATTCAGATCTGATCACAATCAGCTATAAAAAAAACTTGAACGGGTATACATTGTATTTAGTCAAGCTAAGATCACAATCAGCTTCATTAATGATGATGATGAATCCAGCAAGATTTACATCATCTATTCATTTCAAGTTGTTCCTCCCACCACACGAACTCTCTATCGACATTATGATCTTTTTTCTCCTCAACAGTTCAGCTACTATGTGAAGGTAGGCAGAATCATGGAGAGCAAGACTTACCTCGTTTTCCCTAGATGGAAATTGAACCCAAGACCTCTCACTTATGAGAGACTTGACAATGAGTGATCACCCAGTGAACCACACCAACCTTCCCTTCTTTTTATCTTTAAATGTAATACGTAGTACCTAGGTATTATATTGACAACTACAAAGAAAATAGAAATGAATAATGGTGGATATATAATACTTATAACCCACTAATAAATGATTGATCTGTACCTACGAAGCATATAATCAATCTACAACATTATTTTATCATTTATTTATGTTTGAACTGTCAATTCTAATATTTTAATTGATCTATCTGTATATAACATTGAGGGACCACAGAGTTTATCATAAAAAGTTCTTGATATTATTTTAACCTAATGGAGAAATGCCATTTTCGAAAATTAAACAAAACCCCGTCTATGGGCCGATGGTGGAATGACAATCCAATCCTATACTCTCAACATGTCTCATCTATATGGATTTAAACCATGGACAAAATATCGAGGTCATAGCTCACCTGATAGAAACATGTGTCATAAGGGAGAGATTTCGGGTTCAAATTTAAACAATGACCGGAGACTGAGCTACACTCTCTATCTCGAAATTGAAGCTCTTTAAGATCGGTCCTAAGGGTACATCAAAAATGGGATGTCATCCTTTTCTAAACCATGGACAAAAGTGTTGCAAACTTGTCATTCTAAAAATCAATTTGTATCGAGGATATCAAAGGGATTTCAAAGCTAAGGAGTTGGGACTTGATTAATGCATTGATTGATTGAAGGTAGGCATGGACCCGGTTCGGGCCGCCCGGCCCGGGACCGGCCCGGCCCGCCACTGTGCGAGCCCGGAACCGGCCCGGTTCTCGGGTCCGGGTCCGGGTCCGGGTCGGGCCTAGGCCCGGTGGGGTGTCCGGGTCCGGGCTCGGGCCTTGAATTTGGCGAACCGGCCCGGCCGGGTCGGGCCCGGGCCCGGGCCGAATTAATTTTTTTTTAATTTTTTTTTCTTTTTTTGGGGTTAGCCAAGTTGGGCTTGATGGTTAGGAGGGGTTTGGGGGTTTGGGGGGTGTGGGGGTGAGTGGGGGGGTTAGGAAAGCAAAAAAAAAAAAAAAAATTATAACCGAACCGGAGGCCCGGCCCGGCCCGGCCCGGACCCGGACCGGACCCGGTGGCTACCCGGGCCGGTCCCGGGCCTTCCTTCCCAAAAAAAAAGCCCGGCCGGGCCCGGCCCGGAACCGGAACCGGCCCGGGTCCATGACTAATTGAAGGATTAAGAAATTGAAGTAAATGATACGGAGTAGTACATTCATACATCCACAATTTTCCAACTTTATAGAACCTCATTACATATATGTGTCTAAATTTAAATCATCCCAAATATTTCCCAACAAGCTCTTTCATTAAAGAAACTTCAAGTGTCGGAATATACAATCATTACTTATAAAAAAGTGATCACTTTCAAAATTAAAGAATCCCGAAAAGGATTGTCTGGCCATTTACATTTCTAGGGTATGTATTCCTAACGGTCAATAGTCCCCACTTTATCCCTTCAGGAAACAATGATGTTCTTTACGCAATCCCCGTTCAAATTATCACATTTGGCAACCCACGAAAACAGCTGTACAAATCATTTGGAAAGTCTTCTGCTATCACAATCAATAATAATAGTAAAGATAACATTATAATTAGAAAACATAATAGACAATGCAATAATTTGAAATCCTCAACGAATACAGGATGCTTAAACAAAACTTTCTACATTGACAGCAAATAAACTGGCACACTGAAAAGAAACCAAACGGCTACTTCTAAACAGCATGAACTACACAAACTAGCTCTTGTTCCGATCAACCACAGTTTTAACAGATGCTTTCCATCAAGTCATTTTCATTTTTTCCCCACGTTGGCTTTGCAGGTCATTTAAGAAATGAAATTATGTGATAAAAATTTATTTAGAAAGCAAAGAATACTACAAGCCTCACAATTCTTTCCTTCCAAACAAAGAGAGTGATTAATTAGGAACGGGTCATAAAGAAAAGCCTAAAATTAAAATGGGACAGAGGTCAAAGGGAGTAGATAACATCTTGAGTAAAATGAATCACCAAAATCCCAGGAATTACTCAAACCAACGGGCACTGGAACATGATTGACCACAATTTGAGGGATTGACAAAATCCATGAATTCCCTAATTTCCAGATATCTGTATTCGAACCTGTGCAGCGCACATCAGTTTCAGGAACAAGAGAGTTTCTATGAATTAGAAGTAATTCCAAATGAGGCCTATAGAATATAACGCACTACCAATAGAACAAGTTGTACGTACTACGTACTATCTGAAATTCAATTTCCAACCAATGACAAATACAAGCAAGAAATTATTTTGAACAGTAATGCTTTAAATCAACCATGGGTTCAATATCATACTATTCACACGCATATATCCATTATGTTGTATGTGATACCTGCCATTTTGCTAATCTTGCTACAGATGAACAAACGGCCACCTTGCTTGCACCAAGATAACCGGGGGTGAACAACTTGTAAATGAATCAATGCAAGCTGAATAAAGTGTAATGGAGTATAATATAGGCAAAATTCATATGAAAAATCCTTACTTTCAATGATTCTACAATAATAATCAGTACTTGAAATATTACAAAAGCAATCTCAACTCATGATGGCACCCACAAAAATAGAAGATTATATGAAATTTACATAGGTCCATTCTGCCTCTTAAGGTGACTTAGCAAGTGGGATTTTCAAAAATACCCTTGTTCTTCTTACCACTATTTGATAAAGTGGAGATAGGGGTTGGAGTACTAAACACCCATTAATTTGAATCCACACCCATTTAATTCGGATTATTTTTATGAATACTTTGAGTAGGAAGTATTATTGTAGATTTCCATAAAGTAGGGATTATTCGTATGACTTTCACCTATAATATATGGTCATAAAATAAGGGGGGGCTAGGGCAAAGATGCAGCACGATCGGATTCGATCATAGACTTGATGTAAAACTCCCCAGCCTTGTATGATGATCTCACCATGGGACCAGACGCTACATACCGAAATCCCTGTGAACACGAGAAGGCAGTCATTTCATTACTGACAAGTTTTCACATTAAAAAATTGATTTGGTAATAACAGATAGCAAAGCTCAGTGCATGCACATAAAGTAGTGCTTATCTAAAACAAATTATATTCCAAGTTTCCAACTGGTATATCTAGAACAAGCAAATTATTATCATCCACTAACAATTTCACACAGCTGATAAGTTGTAAGGGAGCATTTTTGCTAACTCTGAAAAGGATCCACACAATAAATTCATTTTAACATGTTTGGAAGTGGTAAGAGTTAGTTGGGAAAGTAACAGGTTAGTAGTGTTTCAATAAAGGAAAGTGAACATTATCTTGGGGCAGATTTAAGAGGAAAAGGCAAACATGCAGAGAGGGAATAATTTAAAAAAAAAACTTCATTCATACTTTGAACTACTGTGCACAAATCTTCAGTGTGTTCGTGAATGGTGACACCTTTATTAAAAGGTTAGTTTATCAAAAAACTTGGCTTGTAAGCCACTTAATTTGACTAAAATGACTAGATGGGATAAGTTTGATGACGTCCTGACTGACGTATCTTAATATACTCCCTCTGACCCATGCAACATACATTTGGGTTTGGCAAGGGTTTTAAAAAGGTAAATAATATATATTTCTTTTACCCTTGTAACCTCCAAAAGGTAAGAAGTAGTATTAATTTAGGAAAGTGTTCATATTTTGGGACAACCTAAAAAGGAAACTGTGCCAATGTACCATATAAATAGGACGGAGGGAGAAATTATTAAAAGCATTATTATATATATAGATGTAAAAATATAGGCTGTAAAAATAATTAGGCTGACAAGTGACAACAATTAATATCTCACAAGACAGGCTTTTGGTCCAGTGAAATGCAGAAAGTATCTAAAGCTTCACACATAAGATGTTTTGAATTAAGAAGCCTAGTGAAGACAATTAACCATCTAATACTTGCTACCAAAAGTGGCGTCAACTGCCATGTAACGAGTTCAATATCATTTGGTCATCTCCAACCAAAACCGCCGAATTTGGAATTATTTCACACCTAAATAGAAAAACTTCAACATCAAAGTTTAAGAGTACACTATAATGAATCATCTTAGAAAATTAGTCCAGTAACATTAGTTAATCTCCAACTCATTAATTCATTATATAAAAACATATACTAAAATGTGTAATCCTAGGAGTACTCTCTTTTTTAAAAATAAAAAATACGAGTAATAATTCTATTGCTGCACCAAATTTGGCGTGGTTGATAGTGGGACGCTAAATATGGCCTCCATGTTTATATACTGCTTTCCTGTTACTCTTAACAGCCAATGTACTTAAAGCAATCAACCAATCATAATGTTAGGAATTGGGCCTAATAGACTTTAGGAATTTGGGCCTATTAGACCAAGAAAAATAATAAGTGTAATAGACTAGTATAAATAGAATAAACTAGGAGAAGTCGAGGAGGTTTTTGGGACTTAGGTCTTGGGACTGGGAAGATTGAGAACTATTTCTCTCTCTTTGGGGGCTTCGGCTCATCTGGGGGCTTCGGCCTTGTTACTGTAATCGATTTTCTTCATCAATACAAATTTCAGTTGTTTCTTGTTAATTTCCTGTTAATTGTTCTGGATAATTGGAAGATCTTATCATTGGTATCAGAGCACGTTGATCGCTGGATGAGAAATACGCGTGCTAAGATGGAAGGCCGTATAACAGAAGTGGAAAGAAACATGGATGACATAGCAAGAAACCAAAGAGAAGCCGCGGGAAGGCAGGATACTTTGGAGACGATGATGATCGCTATGCAGACCACCCTCGCAGACATTCAGAATCGACTTCCAGGTCGTTCGAGAAGTAGATCACATGTTTCCTCGACATCGCATCGCACTAATCATCGACATCGATCACGAAATTCAACGAAGAATGATGAATCCGACGGAAGTTCTGATCATTCTTCTCATCGCAGGCATCGACATCACCAAGAACATAACACACACCATCGAACGGGAAGGAAGATCGATTTACCACTATTCAATGGAGATGACGCATACGGATGGTTGGTGAGGATCGATAGATATTTCCGTCTGAACCAGATCGAGGAAGAAGAGAAAGTGAACGTAGCAGTGGTCGCCATGGAAGATAGAGCACTGAGTTGGTTTCAGTGGTGGGAGAACCAGACGCGCGAGAGAAACTGGGACACTATGATGGAAGCCTTAACTCGCAGATTCCAACCAGAGCTAGTACACAATCCCTTGGGGCCTTTATTAGGTTTGAAACAAAAAGGAACTGTGAAAGAATTCCGTGAACAGTTTGAAATGGCAATAGCATCACAAGGTGATCTGAGTACGAAGGTAACTAAAGGCATCTTCTTAAATGGATTGAAGAAGGATATAAGAGCTGAGTTAAAACTCTATCATTCTAGAGACTTGGCTGAAATCATGGATACAGCTTTATTGATAGAGAATAAAAATAATGAAGTGATGGCTAGGAGGAATAAGGAGGAAGGGAAGAAGTTATGGAAGAGTAACACGTCTGGAGAACAGGCCTACAACAAATGGGGAGATGGTAGCAGAAAAAGTTATAGCCTGACATCTACAAATCCATCTGTGAAGCACTCAGTTGACAATGAGAAGCAGGAGGAAGGGTCAAGTTCTGTATCAAACAAGTTAGGCCCCAAGCTTACTCAGACTGAATTGTTGGAGAGGAGTAAAAAAGGACTCTGTTTCAAATGTGGTGACAGATGGGGTAGAGGTCACATTTGCAGTATGAAAAATTTTAAAATGATGCTTGTAGAACAATCTGAAGGGGAGGAGGAATCTGATGTTGACTATATTAAAGATAAAGAAGAAGAAGAAGAAGAAGAAGAAGAAGAAGAAGAAGAAGAAGAAGAAGAAGAAGGAATACATATGGAAGCTAAGACTATGCAATTATCTGTATTGAGCCAGGAAGAAATACCATTCATGAGAACTTTCAAAGTCCTGGGAAATCTGAAATGGCTGAAGGAGGAAAAGAAGGTGAATATTTTGATTGATTGTGGAGCTACCCACAACTTCATATCACAGAAGATTGTGGATAAATGGAAGATACCATTTAGTTGCATCAAGGATTATGAAGTGCAGATAGGGAATGGAGAAATTCTTTCCAACAAGGGCAGATGTGAAGGAGTAACTTTGAATTTACAAGGAATTGACATTATGCAGAAATTCTACATTCTGGACTTGGTTGGAACTGAGGTGATGCTGGGAATAGAATGGTTAACTGGCCTAGGAGATATGGTAGTTAATTTTCAAAATCAGACCATCGAATGGAAGGTACATGGGCAGAAGGTTTGTATACAAGGAGATCATCAACTGGGAATTGATATTGAAGAAGAAAGTGTCTTCGGTGTTGCAGCTGGCTGTGACTTCACCTCCACAGAATCTGAAGGAACCAAATTGCTGAAAAAAATGTCTTGGCTGCTGTGTAATTCCGCTGTGAAATACATAGGGAAGAAGATGAAAGCAGCAAAGCTAAAAGTCCAGCAATCAATCCAGTATTGGAAAGGGAGAGGTGCTAGGATGAAGGAAAAGAAGAAGATGCTGGCTGTGTCCTATCACCCACCTTGAGGGCAAGGTGGTTGTTTAGGGGGGGAGTATTGTTAGGAATTGGGCCTAATAGACTTTAAAAATTTGGGCCTATTAGACCAAGAAAAATAATAAGTGTAATAGACTAGTATAAATAGAATAAACTAGGAGAAGTCCAGGAGGCTTTTGGGACTTAGGTCTTGGGACTGGGAAGATTGAGAACTATTTCTCTCTCTTTGGGGGCTTCGGCTCATCTGGGGGCTTCGGCCTTGTTACTGTAATCGATCTTCTTCATCAATACAAATTTCAGTTGTTTCTTGTTAATTTCCTGTTAATTGTTCTGGATAATTGGAAGATCTTATCACATAACATGACAAACAAACTTTTTACCATGACTTCTATCCAAGCTTCTAGTTTTGAATGAAGAGTTAAGACCACATATTAGTCCCGCTAACATGCCACCAAAGTTATACTTCATCCGTTCTTTAATTCTTGCAACATTGTGATTTTTGGACTACTCACAGATCTTACTTTGACCACGATTTTCTTCTAATATACATAATCAAATTATTATGTATAAAATGTTATTGAATTCCTATAAATGTGAATATCCAAAATATCAACTTTTTATAATGTTTACTAATACATAATTAAATATAATTGCAGTCAAAGTTGTGTGTTGGCAAACGTGAAAGTCAAACTGTTGCAAGAATTAAAGAACGGAGGATAGTACTACGATTCCAGTTAGTTTTGTTTTCTCACTTTTCATCAGGACAACATACATCGAAGGATTTCCTTAGAAATCATGTATATGTAAATATGCAACGGCAATCAGAACTGAGACATGCACAAAAATCATTTACAATGAACACCCAAAACTATTTAGGAAAGAAAAAGAAGATGGATTGATACAAACCATTTGCATCCCAAGAAGTCGATACTTCTCAAAAGCCTCGGGAGTTACATATTCTGATACAGGCATATGCCGCTTTGAAGGTCTCATGTACTGACCAAATGTCATGACATCAACACCAGCGGCCCGCACCTTTTCCATTGTTTTAACAATTTGATCAGGTGTTTCTCCACAACCCAACATTATGGATGTCTTGGTTAGCGTACCAACAGGAGCATAATCCTTGGCCATCATCAAAACATCCATGGACTGCTTAAAGTTAGCACGGTGATCTCGTACAACACTCTGAAGTTCTTCAACCGTTTCAATATTATGAGCAAAAACATCTAATCCAGACTTTGCAACTTTCTCAACACAACTAGGATCCCCTCTAAAGTCTGGAACTGCAATAAAGAAACAAACTCAAGCAATGAGAATGAAGGCATACATTCAGAGGTAAACTATTCAAAATAACTTGAAGAGCAAATTGATTCATTAATCAAAAATATATGCCATGAAAAATAAGTGGAGTACAGAACTTCTGATAGACTTTCTATCCCAGCCATGACTGATTACTTGCTAACATGCCAGGATCTGCTGAGGTGCTGATTTGCTACTTTTAATATAGTGAGGCTTTAATTCTTACATGAATTTACTATTTAGATATACAATCTGAAATTTCTCAGTTAGACAAACAGGGTAAATTGAATAAGTTAACTATTCCTTCCGTTCCAAAGATGGCTACTCCCTCTGTTCCAAACTGAAAGTACCAATTATTCAATTTGTGTGTGCAAACTAAGAGTCCCATTTCCCTTTTCAGACATTTTTTAACATGAATTCCAATTTTAACCTTCAAAAATTTACCTTCCTTAAATAAGGAAGGTAAAAGGCAAGGGTAATCTAACATTTTTAACACCCTATCTAAATCTTTGAGCCCAAAAATTTTGGGAGTTCAATTAAAGGAGGTAGTATTATTATTATTCATAGCAAACTAAATAGTTAAATCAATACTCAGCGGCTACTAGGTGTCAAGGGTCTAGTAGCGAGTAGGACCGACTAGTAAATACTCGGTCAACTACTAGAAAATGTTATACTACGTATGAATCAACATTTTTAGTAACATTGATTGAGTAAGTTATACACACTACATAGCAGAAATAACAATACATAAGAAACTAGTATGAATCATTAATATTTTAAACAAATCCATCATCAATTCAAGAATAATTTTTAAATTATTCTCAAATCTCAACTAATCCGTGTAAGACTTCCAAGAAGAATTCATTACTGCAAATTACTTCTATATATGAAAGTCAAATTTCTAATATGAGGTGTAAGAAGAAGAAAATATATTATATTCAGTTACTCACATAACATATTAGTGCATGAATATCCTAAAAATATAATCTTTATTATACTTACATAAATGTAACTATATTTTAGGCTTTTTAGCTAATGCATGCATATTATAAATAGATACTTTAATACTTGCGTAAATATTGCACGCACTCACACATATATAAAGGTATATGAGTCCTTATATATAAAATTATAAATAAGGTATTATTATACTAACTGTTCCCATTGAAGTAATATTAGGTTATGTATATATATATATATATATATATATACACACATATATGCGATTTAGGCTATGATATATATAGGACAATGATCATTTAAGGTAGACCTAAATTTTACAATTTTAGGCCTCTTTCGTTTGAGATGCTTCCGGGTCGAATTTTTTATATAAAAAAACTGCATTTTATATATAAAAACTGCGCAATTTTCATTTAATTGATTTCTCGGTTGAATTTTAATTTGAAATTTGGTGGAAATCACTACACTTCATGGGGAACATGGTCACAAAGTTTCATTAAAAAATTCGACCCGGAAGCACCTCATTTTTGGATGTATTGAAAAATTTGTTACACTTTCCCTTTTTGGTAAGTTTTTCCTTTAAAAATACTCAACTACCCTTACTTTTTCTAATTTTTATCTTCTCTTTCATACTTTGATACCATCTCTCCTACTTTTTCTACACTATTCATTACCCCTACTATTTCGCTCTTAAAAAATGTGCCAACACCTATTGTAGCAAACACAAAATACGGAGGGAGTATATATATAATATATATCATAAAAGCATACAATCATTACAAGTTTTTTATATCGTTTATTCTAGGAATAATCAGTTTTATGCTTTTATACTCATAAAAGAATACTCCCTCCGTCCCTAATATCTTTGCCAAGTTTGATCGGCACGAAAATTAATAAAGTAAAAACTGCGTGGTTGAGGTTTGTGCAAAGGAGAGAGAATAAACTAGAACCACAAATTCTTTACTTAAAATGGAAAGTGGCCAAGTTAATGGGACATCCAAAAAAGGAAAGTTGGCAAAGTTATAAGGGATGGAGGGAGTATGTAGTAGTTGTTACATTATAAAGTAAAGAACACATATTTAAAGCATACAAAATATCTTTAAGGCTATAATGTCCATCGTCCTCATAACATAACAGGAAACAGGGACTGAATCCTAGACTTTCATACTTCCAGCTAAGATGTTGATCATGTTGTAAATGTTCTTTTTCTGTTTACTAAAATAAGTAAAATTAAGTCCTGTTTTCAAAATCCTAATCTTCAGTTCAAAATCCTAACTCGGTTGTCACATTTTAGTACAACCAAGTTACTCAGAGGGTAAAACTAGACACCTGGTAGTGAATATTGGTGAGTGCTCGTGATTAACTCAGGATTTTGATACAGAATGATTAGGTAACCTAAACAGCCAGCTTTATGTTTGGGTAGAGAGTACTCGCCTAATAATTTCCGATTAGATAACATAGATAACAAGTGCTTCAGTACGAATATCTGGCTTAAACAATACTCATACCAAGTGCTTCAATAAGAATATCCGGCTTCAATTCCTTTAGCTTCTGCACTGTTTTGGTAAAGTGATCACTTCCTTGGTCAGGTAAATCATCACGGTCAACACTAGTTATCACAACATAATCCAGACCCCATGAAGCAATTGCCTCAGCCACATTATATGGTTCATCTGGATCAGGAGGGGGTGGGGTGCGTGAAGTCTTTACATTGCAGAACCTGTCAAATTTAGAGTGTCAGAGCACAAGGAATGAAATGATTTCATGCTTTCCGTTATACAGATTTTTAATTTTATAATGCCAGTACAACCAATGGCCTAGATTCTGCTTCATCAATTAGCTCAAAAAAGATCAACATTTATCTTGACAAATTCAAGAAAACATCATAAGCTAAGTCCATCTGAAGTATACCATTCAAGTAGAGTGGTGAACTAATGGCGAACAATTATACGGAGTAAGTTGCACTAAGACACATAATACAAAAACAAGTGTTAGTTTAAGGGAGTGAACACAAACATAAGAAAATTAAGCAAAGCTTCTTGTAATACATTATTTTAGTTCCATATGACATAGGTTCAACCGTTTGACTAAGTAAGAAAAAATAAAAGGTGAAACAATGAAGGTCCTAAATTAATGCCAAATTAAGCAAAAGTACATAACTTTCCAATTATTGTACCATGAAAACCAGTCATCTCCGACTACATATCCTCCAACCTTTTAGTCTTTAACTAGGTACACATATCTCTCATTCAAACAGTGAGTCGTATCTTTGGATGGTTGATTGAAAATGCAAGGAAATAGCTGGAAAAATCTGGGAATTTTTCATAGGGAGAAACTCAGAGTAGATGGGTAGGTTGTGGTTGAGGAAATACTTATACCCCACAATTATTACATAAGAAAAACATAAAGCAAGATTATTACCTGCACCCTCGAGTACAAGTATCCCCAAGGATCATAATTGTCGCAGTGGCAGTTCCGGTTTCACCGCCGGACCAGCATTCTCCCAAATTGGGACATTTAGCCTCTTCGCAAACCGTGTGCAGTTTCAACTCTCTCAATTTCTTCTTGATACGCGTGTACTTCTCTCCTCCAGGAATCGCTTCCTTCATCCACTGGGGCTTCGGGAGCGGCTTCTTCTTCGTTCCGACCTCGACGGAGTATTCATGGTCCGATTGGAGCCGCGTGAAGTCAGACAGCGTCGGCGACTCGGCAGCTAGCCTGCTACGCAATCCCTCCAAAGTTCGCGGGTATGGATGAGAAGAAGGGGATGAAGGAGGGATGGACGAAGCGGAGGAGAAGGATTGCGGATTGAGAAGATGGGAATGAAGAGGCAATAAGGTGGCGTGAGAGGGGCGGTGGGTGGATTTGAGCAATAGGGAAGCGAGAGTTGGGAAGCGGGTCTTCATTTTCCCGGCGATCGTTTCAACCTCCCTCACGATGGCGGATAGGAAACGGGAAAAGAAACAGTTGCTTCTCCGGTGGTCTTTCGGATTTGCTGTCGTGGTCTAGCAGGAGTTTAGTGTAGTATATTGAATTACTCCGAATAAAATTGGAATAATAAAAATTTTTATGGTAATAAAATAATAATAATAATAATAATAATAATATATAGTTAAATGAATGAGTTAATTTGTAGTATAATAAGTATGGAAATCTTTCCGGTAAGGTATACCTTACCGGAGCCGCCGTGCGGCCTCCACGTTTTGAGGGCCTTCCCGGTGGAGTTTTTCGATGAAATTTTTTGAGCATGTTCTTCATCAAGTCTAGTACATCCATACCAAATTTCAGCAAAAAATTCAATCGAGAAGACAGTCAAATGATTTTTGGAAGATAACTGCGTTTCATGTGTGGTAACTGATCAGATTGCTCCACACACATGGCGGGTATAAAGACGAGCTGTGAGCAATCAACTGGTGCACATTATGAAGGGGGGTATTGGCGTGTGTACTACCCCAACGAGCTGAAAAATCAAGAAATGCACAACTCAACGCCGACACGTGCCAAGAACAAACAACAAATGCTTATTCTGAGGGGGAGTGTTTCTTTTTCACTCCTCCTGGTGCGGTACAACGAAGAAAGCGCATATCAAGGAGGACTTCTCTACTTTACTCCCCGGGTGATCAACAACACCTTGCACATTCTGAGGGGGAGTTACATTTTTCTCCTCCTGGCGCCAATCAATGATCAATGCAAGACAACTCAAGCATGTAATGGCAGAACTAGCAGCAATCAGGACCATCTACAGGATCCAAAACTGACACCTCATCAAGGAGAACAACTCAAAGTCGGACCCGAAGGTCTTGTCCTGCCTGACGTGCTGACCGCCACTATCAAGGACACTAAGGTCACGATTACAAAGGAGTTGATGCACCAAGTGCTGCAAATCCCAGAGCAGGATGAATATGATGAGCTGGCCACCAAAGAAGATATCATGGAGGACATAATCACACTGGGCCATGCACAACTGATCAGGCTCATCTCCCAGGTCAAGCCCAGAAGACTATCACGACCATGGAGGACTCTGATGGCTACACTAAACAAGTGCTGCACTGCCAAACACACCAGCTTCGACAAGTGCAGCATCTACCTTTTGACTGTCTTCCAAGGCATGGCATTCATGAAAAATTATGACTACGTCTCGCTGATCTGGGACAACAATCTTGAAATGATCAAAAAGACCAATCAAATCAAACATCTACCATATTTCAAATGGTTTTCACTACTGGTGCGACGCTTCTCCAAAACAACTCCATCCATCCACCGAAAGACTATCAACGGAGAACGTCAGCAAGTATCTCCAAAAGATGACAAAGGATTCAACGCTTGTACCTCTCTTAATACCAGTGTCTCTGTTGCAGTTAGCTGATCCGAATGATCCATCTGTTCGACGCTACTGCCAGAAGAATAACATTATACTCCTTATGGCTCAGATAAACCCCCCTGAGCCTACCCAAGGGAGTCAGCCGAGAGCAAGTGAGGGTCCTGAGAGTTCAATCCAGCCACATAGACCAGTGGCGGTTCGGCCCCATGATGATCAGACTACGTCTGCTGAGGGCCACCCCCGAGTTGCTAAGGAGACTACCAATGACTCGTTCAGCGCAGCCAGACCACAAAACGCTGGCGATGAGGGCTCCGGGAGCAAGGCTGAAAAGAGCGACAACGAGAAAGATGGCGAGGACGACAATCATGCGAACAACAACGCAAAGAAAGCCAGGAAAGCTCCGGTACAAAAATGCTGATTCGATATCAAGCTTTCTACGGCTGCAGATAAAGATGTGTCTTACTTGAGAAAGAACACTCAAGGACAGATTATCAGTGAGACTCACTCTAAGCTACATCATGATGTCCTCTCTTCATCACTCATTCCTACGCAAAGAGTGCAAACATCAAGCAACCAGGCTGAAGAAATGGCCTTGTATGACTGTTGCTCAGACCTAGATAAAATAAACCGGGCTAACCCCATAGGCACAGAGACTAATCTTTTCCGTCTCCGGGTAGAAGACGCAGCATCCAGCCTAACTGCGCATGCACAAGCCTCCCCTAGCACTCTGCTGCCTCCCAACAGGTAGTAGTTTCAATATTAAGGGATCTCATACCCACTATCTGCCCCCTTTCGGAGCAGTCGAGGATATCTATAGTGACCACCAGCCCCAGGTCACTACCCCTCCTTCTACCACGTTGTGTCCAGGTGTCACCCTTCATATACTTTCTAATTTTTCTAGGACACATACACTTTTCACACCACCGCACTCTACAGGTCCACTTTACCTGTCAACAACGATCGGAGATACGTCGATGATGATCGGAAGTCATGCTGCTCAACAGATAACTCAATTATTATCTGCAGGCCACACACCGGTTATCTTTACCGATGTTGTGACAACGGTTACTATCCCTGTAACCGGAAACCCTGACCCTACCGACCTTTCAGTCATTCTGCAGCGTTTCTTGGATTCCACCATTAAACCATTGGTGCACGAAGCAATAACCGCTCGGGCACAGGAATTCAGGACCACCCCGACGCTTCTTAATGACATCATCCAAACCCTAACTCAACCCTCATCCTCTCACTCCCAATAGCAACTCACCCCAATCCTTACCCTATTCCTTTTACCATGCCATTCGATGATCTATCATCCATTATGCTATCGAGAATTCTTGAAACCAAAGAAGCTCCACTCACTTACAAACAAAGAGCTCTTCTTGTGGTACTTGAAACTGAAAGCACATGCAATGACAGTCTCCGCGGCCACAAACATTCGCATGAGGACCCCGATGATTCGGCTCCTCATGAGGGGGAGAATAAGAGGCAACGGATACTAGAGCATGGTGCTTCATCTAGCCAATAACCCCAACCTGAACCCTCAAACAACCAAGATAAGATGCAAGAATTCTCTCAAGGATGCAGATTTTGAGGGGGAGTTTTCAAGGTTCTCCTTCCCAAGCGCCAATCATCGTCAAAGGCATCCTACTCAGTGCTTCAGTTGAGGGGGAGCACAAAGAGAAAATAGCAAAGAAAAATGTGAGATAAGTCCCAATGGCTTAGTAAACCCAACTAAGCCTACCCAAGGGGCAAAGCCGAGAGTGAGTGGGTAACTGAGTGAACACTATGAGAGTGAGGAAGCAGAAGGCTCATGTGAGCGAGAACAATAATCAATGACATGTCTGCTACCTCAATTGCGCTTTCAATTGAGAGAATTACTCCAAGTCACTCAAATAATCCGGACAATTCCCCATAGGTTCAGGACTGAATTTATTCAGATCCTGGGTAGAAGACGCTGCATTTTGTCCAAACGGCGCATGCACAACCCTACCCAAGACCACTCATTTGTCTCCCAACAGACATGTGTTTAATCATATTTCACGGGGAACCTCATCTCTCATCAATGTCTCCTTTCGAGGCAAGTGATACTGACCACAGTGGCCTCAGCCCCATGCCACTGACATTCATTGATCACGTCGTGTCTAGTTATCTCACTCCCAAATGTTTTGAATTTTCTAGGACACAAACACTTTTTAAAGTCAGTTGCAGGTCTTCATGACCCGCGAGAACTTCCATAGGGCTCATCTACTATGGATGTAGACCAATGATTGGAAGGAAGTCCTGCTGTTGCAACATAGAAATCACCAACATGTTCTGGCCATCGCTTTAGAGTTTATCTCTGTGGTGATGATAACGGGTATCTACGCGACCCCGGGGGGCTACAAGGTTTTCATTGCTGATCTTTATGATTATGCCATAACAACTAGAGTGACATCTACTTCAAATGCTTTACAATGACTGGTTGGAAGTCCTGTTAGAACTTTATTGCTTCTATCATTTTACACAGGCCACACATCGGTGTTTACATTGATGTTATGATAACGGAACACTATGGTGTCTCTGGTTTTTATCTTATCTTTTTTCTTTTTAGTTTTTGTTATCCAGAATAAAAGAATAAAAGCATGACGTCCCGATTCACCGGATCGTCATGAGGGGGAGAATGGTCCACATGCTGTTTACTACCAACAAATCATTCTTGGACACATCTCTCCTCCATCACAAAAATCAACGACGGCTCTCTATTCTCTCAAATCATCAAATGGTCAGCTAAACTCAGAAGTTAACCATCTCTTTCCGCTGTGCCACTGATGAGATCTCATCAAAGTCAATCTTTTTCCGCTGTGCCACCTACACATTGAAGGAGACAGAGGTCGGGTAATCAAATTCTGAAAATGAATCACATGCGCGTCTGGAAATCATCAGAACATTCATTCAAAAGGCGCCATTGGAATTCATTCAAGCTGATCAAGAGCAACTTCTTGAAGACAAGGACTGCATGCAAGACTTTGAAGATTCCTCAAACCCTGGCATCAAAGAATAAATTGCCAAGAAGATATCAAAGGGGAGATTGCAAGGATTTCTTCAAAAAGCCTTCTTAAGAAGTCGAACTCAAGACCAAGACAAAGGAAGCTGAGCTGCACTGAAGATCAAGACAAAAGAGGAGCAACTCAACAAATATTATCTACGCTCTCCTCTACATTGCTGAATTCACACAAAGACAAAGATATTCGTGCTGCAATGCTGATTGAACAAGATTGAACACCAAGGGGGAGATTGTTAGGGATATTTTATGGTGTCCAACCTGGTTAAATATCTTTGTATTTGTGTAGCTATTTTGTCTAGATATTTTAGCCAATTGGGATCTTTGTTAGCTATTATTAGACTAGCTTTATTAGGAAATGTGTAAAGTGTGCTATTGGGCCCAATCAATAAAAGAGCCCAATCATGCTTAGGTCACATCACACATTCCCTAGGCATATAAATATTGCCTTTAAGGGAATGTGCAAGAGAGGCTTTTACACAGATTATTCAGCGCATATTATTCTAGTGAGAGAGAGAGAGCCGATACTTTGCATTCTCGATACCCAGAGCTGTATTTTCTCGATCATTGTTGGTATTGAATCAAAGCTATTTTCTTCTCTACTCTATATCGTTTATATGATTGTTGAATGAAATAGGGACAAACAATTACATATAGATCATAATACA